GGGGGGGGGGGCTCGTTCTTTCTTTCTTTCCTTCCTTTTCCTCCCCTAGCGCCCACCCACCAGATGCGCTTCAAATGTAAATACGAGCCGCCAGCACAAATGCAAAACAGAAACACATGTACGGGCAGGAAAGAGGGGAGAAAGAAGGAGAAAAAAAAAATGAAATAAAGAGCGAAGGCGCAGGAAGCAGCTGCGAACTGCACAGCTCCATCTTTAGGCCGGGAAGACTCTGGCGGGGGGAAGAAGATGGTCTGGACGGAAAGGGATTTTCCTTCTTGCAAGGAGGGATTTTTCAGTTTTGCAAGGTACTCGCAAGCGGGTCCTGCGAGGGGATTTTATTTTGCAGGGAACCAAATAAAACAACAAMAAAAAAAGTGCATGTGAGAAGGGTCTTGCAAGGAGAATATTTTTGCAGGACGGGGAAATGCTCTCAGGAGGGGTCTTGCAAGAAGATTGTGTTTTTGCGGGAGAAAAGATGAGCTCAAGAGGAGTCCCACAACAAAGAGCTGATTTTGCAAGGGGAAAATGCCCACAAAAAGGGTCTTGCATGGAGAATACTTTTGCAAGATGGGAAAGATGCGCTCTAGAAGGATTTTAGAGGAACATTTTTGCAGGAGGAAAGATGCACACGAGAAGGGTTGTGCTTGGAGAATAGTTTTCTTTTGTGGAATGGGAAGATGCTTGCAAGAGGGGTGTTGCATGGAGATTGCATTTGCAGGAGGAAAGATGCCTGCAAGAAGTGTCTTGCAAGGAGAACATTCCTGCAGATGAAAGATGCTCCTAGGAAGGGTCTTGAGAAGAGAATGAATTTGTAGAAGAGAAGATGCCCCCAAGAGGAGTCCTGCAACGAGAGTTTATTTTGCAAGGGGAAAGGTACACGCAAGAAGCATCCTGCAAGGAGGACGTTTCTGTAAGGGAAGGGTCAGGAAATGCACTCGGGAAGGGGCTTGTAGGAATATGTTATACAGGAGAAAAGATGCACTCAGGAAGGGTCCTGCAAGGAGAATTTTCTTTTGCAGAGAAGAAAAACCCTCCTTCTTGCAAATAAACTTTTTATTTTGCTGAAACTCGGGCCTGGCCCCGCACGGTGTCTTCATCACGGCTGTTCCCTGGGGCACCAGCACCAAATAGGGGACAGCTTGGGGACTACGCCACCCCAGGACATGTCACCACATGGATACAGCCCATTTCACCATGCTGGAGGGCAGCAGAATTTGCTGCAATTGGCAGGGCTTTGTGGCGGGGCAGCTTTGGCACCAGCGCTCTGCATTTTAGCCCAGGACATTTCAGCACTATTTAAAGAAAATGGAAAAAAGACAAAGTGGAGCTTGGCTGCAAAGCACCAGCGGACCTCAGGGCTGAGGATGAGGAAGGTTATTTTTCCCCCCACCCCGCTTTCCTGCACTAAGACACCCCGGGGCGCATCAGTGCAGGGTTTTTCACTGGTTTTTCACTGGTTTTTCACTGGTTTTTCACTGGTTTTCCACCCGGTGAGGTGATCTGGGAGGGCAGGAACCGGTTGGGCCTGTTGGCTCCTGGCTGCCGCTGCTGTCTTTTCACCTGGAAAGGCCTTGGAGCGTGGGCGGGCTCAGGATCTGGGTTGCAAGGAGGCATCAGAAAGGGGGTATATTTTTCCAAGGGGTTTGGGATGAGAAAGGGCCCAGCGGATACACCCGGGGGAGATAACATCTTGCATTTTATTTTATTGCTTTTTTGTCCTTTCATAGGGAGGCATTTTGCACTAAAAAATGGTTGTCAGGCACTGTGGAAATGCTCCTTTTTAGCGCTTTTTAACCCCAAAAGGAAAAAAAAAAAGTTGCTCTTGCATTGGATCGGGGTCTGAAAAGACCTTTGCAGAGGCCTGTGGGCCACACTGTGCATTTCAGACCCCTTTAACTTCTTGGGGCGGCTTTTGCATGGGCGGGAGGGCTGCAAAAGCAAGAGAAGGGGGGATTGCAATTTTTTGGATGCAGCAGCAAGGGGGTGCAAAAGCCAGGTGTGCAAACGCATGGGGTGCAAAAGCCAGGTGTGCAAACGCATGGGGTGCAAAAGCCAAGTTTGCAAAAGGAAGGTAATATAGGGAGAAGGGGATTAACGTTAAAACACATATATATCTTTCCACACTGGGCTCAATATCCAGCATGTATCAGGAGTGCAGAACGAGCCGAACGGGCTCAGCCGGATCTCTTGCATCTGCAAGCCCCGCAGTGGGAGCCGGTGCAGCCCCCTCAACGTGCTGGCCAGTGCTGGCCGAGGGCATTGGCCCCATCCCATCCCATCCCATCCCATCCCATCCCATCCCATCCCATCCCATCCCATCCTGATATGGAAAAGATGGATGTGCCCATGCCCATGCGTGCAGGCCATGCTTTTTGCAGGCAAGGGCTCTCTCTAATCGCACGCCAGTGCTTGTAGTGCCATGCATGCAAATGTGCTGTCTCTCGAGGCAGGGCAGCCTTAAGCAAGCCGGTAAGTCTGGGAAAGCTCCAGGTTTCACCAGGGAATGCTGAGGTTTCGAGGTTTTGCCGGGCTGGTCCATCCTGTCGGGGCAGATGCAGTTTCTTTGGGTGCAGTTTGGGTTTTGCAGCCCAGCCAAGCCTCAGAGCAGTGGCCTGGCCAGTCCCGACCCTCCTGGGCTTCACAGGGGGGAAATTCCCAATAGGATGCAGCATCCTAAGTAAATACTGGATCCCTATGGGTCCTGTGGCTGCATGGTTCCCATCCCATCACATTCATCCACTGGCCGCCTCCCTGCATTTCCTCTCCTTTTTTTTTTTTTTTCTATTTTTTTTAAATCTTTTTTTCTCCCCTCTCTCTTCTCCCCCTTTTCTTTTTCTTTATTTTTCCCCATTTTTTTCCCCCTTCCTGTTTTTTCCCCCTCTTTCTCCTTTTCCCCCCCTCCCATT